TGGAGCCTACATGGTTTAATTTTCTTGACGTGGCGTCCTACGTGTAGGAGATTGTATTACACGCACTGGTGGCCTCGTGTCATAAGTGTTTATTATACACGATTTGAAGGAGTGTAAGTGTTCAATTGACAAATTATTAAGTTTAGGGACCGGCATGACAAAGTGGGACAAGTATATGTACCATTTAGGCCATTCTTACTAAGGTCATCTTCAGTTAAGAGGAGTTAACGAGTATTTCTACCAATTAAAAATCATGGCAAATTTTTACAATATCTCTAACCAAATGCTTTCTGATATACATGTAAATAATGAATTACTATATAATTATTTTATGTCTACTAATTTCTTTTCTGTGACGACATAACAGCTACTATAAGAACTTGAATTAATATAAAATATGTAACATGTATTAAGACATACCTATATGAAAAAAAAACCTTAAAATGGTAATGAAAAGGATTAGATCCTCGTGTTGATAACGTGTTATAAAATAAAAGCAATATAACAAGAACTGTATAATTAACTATGACTAATAATAGAAGAGAAGGATGACATTAGAAGAAAGGATTTATTTATTCGTTTCAGAGTGTGGAATAGGTTCATCAGTGAACCTATTTATAGAAACATTTCGTTGTTACAAAACCTGTTATGAATACATAACCAATCTAAAACCTGTTATGGATACATAACCAATCTGAAATATATTATAGATATATAACCAATTCAAAACCTGTTATGAAAGACATCCATATCCATTTGCAGGATTTATAACAAAATGGTACATTAAAAAGAAATAGAAATAAAACAAGATTGCATCCCCAACCCGATGGTTCAACTACTAAAATCCGGACCCAATCCATATGCTTATGCTCCCCTTCACATGACTCAGTAATGCAAAATCACCGCGCATGAAATAACTTGCTTAGTATTTTCCTAAGCACTATTGCGCTATATGAGTCACCATTTGCAAATTGCGATTAGTGATAAATGATTCTCCAAGAAATGAAGAAAGCCATAGGTGCCTACCGCGAAGTGCTGAGGCTAGTGAGGCGACTTCCAAAGGACACCCAGCCTTACTACGCAAAATACGCCCGAGAAAATTTCGTCAATTACAGAGAAATCGACTCAAATGATCCTAATGCTCTTCAGGAACTCCTTCAACGAACGTACAACCATTCCCTCTGGGTCCTTAATAAGGTAAACACTAAAATACTGTGACATGTTTTATAGTTATTGTAGAAGTCATTAGTACTCTTTTTTACATTTATTTAGCATTTGGTTTAATTGGATCGAGTATCTATCGATAGACCCACTTGTAATTTCTTCTTGTTTTGCAGTATTCTGTGGACCAATCTGCGGCGGATCGCCTTAAGAATATATGCTCGGCTTGATGGTTCGTCTTGTCTACCAACTGTTTGCTGCTATGTCCCAAAGAGCTTTGTTCTTTTGTTGCTCTTTCTTTCTTTCTTCCTTGTACTTTAAATTGGATATTCTGCATTAGACACTTGATTTACAGTTTCTGATACTTCATATAACAACTGTTCAAGTAAAATGCACTGAGAAATAAATTTAAATTTAAGTAAGTTCTCTTTTAGTTTTACAAGGTCCCAAGTCCAAGATTCATCTATGATATAAATAAGGTCAAGTCAAAGTTTCACATGTGATGGACAAGTATTTTGATAGAAATTGGGTGGACAGACACTTGAAGATTCATTTCTTCTTTTGTACATATGTGGAATTTTAGAAACCCAACACATTTACTGATATTAAGGTGCATCGTCATGATAGTCAGGTTGTTGTGATAGTTAGATACCTTATTATTGTCACTTTCACATTACAAACTATACATCATGACCAGTGTATAGTGTCCAGTTTTTCATGGAGTGTCGCTTAGAGTCTGGCAGCCTATTGCTTCTATGGTGTTGAACTAAACTATTATAGAAGTATGGTGATGTATGTGGGGTAGCTTTAGAGGTTCGCTATGGTGACATATTAATGGAGATAATTCAGTTGTCTACTCAGTTTGAGTCCAGTTAGTAGTACTTAAAGGTTAGCTCAGGAAGAGATTGAGTAATAAAATGTGAAGCTGACTCTAGACATAATTAATCACCTTAAGTTTGGTGTTAATGAGTATTTTTGGGGCAGTGCTGAATCATGAATTTCTTTGGGTTTGGAGGTGGTTCTCACAAGTCACAACAAAGTTTTCGCATGGATCTCACTACAGGAGAATGTGTGCAGGGGCGGATTTAGGGGCGGAAGGGGGTTCACCAGAACCCCCTTCGCCGAAAAATTACACTGTATATATAAGGCAAAATCAGTTTTTTATCTCTATATATTAAGTTTTGAACCCCCTTAACACTACCTAAAAGTATAGTTTAGTGGTCAAGGGGGTTCAAAACCTTCATAAGGTCATAGGTTCAATTCCCACTAGCTAAAAAAAAAATTTAACCCCCTTCATGAAGATCTTGCCTCCGCCACTGAATGTGTGTAGGATCATAAGTTTCCATCTTAGTTCCATACTTCCATTTTACGGATCTCCCCAAGTTTCTCTGTTGCCCTTTGTGGGTTGCGTTGTGGTATCTAACAACAAAGTTGAAGCTTCTATTAGTATTGGTATAAGTTCTATGTTGGACAATGAAATGCCAAAATTATTCTGCTTTATTTAGGGCTTAAGTTTTGCGAGTTCTTGTTTTATTGGAATTCTTTGATAGTATAACTTCAAACGACAGATTTTCAACATATCTTATCATTCCTAGGCCTGGTTGTCTGTAGCACTACAGAGGTGTAAAGTGGCAGATCAATATCACATTAAGTTTTACTTTTGAGCTAAGTTGCTCGGAAACGGGTGCAGGTGTCCGATATGGGTGTGGATCTAGAGGTCGGATCTTTCGAGATGTAAATTCTAAGATTGGGGGATACGGATCCTAGTACGGATACGGGTGCGGGGATCCGACTAAAAAATAATTCAAAAAATATAAAAATATTTCTATATTATGATAAATTTTGTGAAATACTTACGTATAGCTTGTAATGTGTGGATTTCTTTTTTATTCTCAAGTTGTAGATAAGTAAAGGATTGATTTCCTAGATAAGGTATGCTATTCGGGAATCAAATTATATCTCGTCTCGATTTTTCCGTCCGTCGTGGTCAAAGTACCCAAATTGTTTGATCAGATCCGGTACGGATCCCATACCCACATCCATACTAGTGTCGTGTTGACACGGTGCGGCACCTAAACTGCCATGTCGGAGCAACTTAGCTTTTGAGAGCTATTCATTAGCTGGTTGAATTAATCTTTGAAACTGTAGTTTCTTCTGAATGACATCTCAAACAACGTTCCCTAATTATCTTCAGGTTCATGAAATAGTAAAAATCTTGCTCAACCAAAAATGCTTATAAGCTGAAAAGTCATAAGTTGACTTTTGACTTTTGACTGATTTCGGTGCTTTTAAGCATTTTGGATGTTTACGCTTATAAGCTTAGCCAAACACCCTCTATATTAGGCACATCCAGTCCAAGGCCAATGTGCTTTTACAGGAAGGAAAAGTCCTCTTTCTTTTTTCTTTTCACTTCTTAATAGATGCTTTTTTGAAAATCACACTAGTTTGTGAACTGTGTTGGTCCTGTTCCTGCAGAAAATTCTGCAGCATTTGTCATAATTAAGGTTGGTTGGGGATGGTAGTTGTAACTGGGGAAGGAACAAACTTTTATTTGCTAGTTTTTCGTAAGTCACTCATCAATTATGCTGATTAAAATAGTGCATACTACTTCAAAGTTCACTTGTCAACGTGCAACAATTCAATTGGTTTATTAGGCTCAATGCATGTCCTTTTCAGTTCTAGGCACCTGGATTTCTACTTCAACGATGATACCATTTGTTTTGTGGTCTCCTGTTATGTCCTGTCAACAACTTTAGATTGGAAGACTTTGGTTAATTTTTGAAACCCCACCTCCCCGCATTCACGCAACACCCTCATACGCAGATGTATTTTATTAAAGATGTCATGTTCTTTAATGAAGGAATAGATAAGGTGTGAATAACATAGGAAATGGAATGTGATTTTGTGTGTCTATCATTAGTTTTTCGTGATTTATAGAAGGGAGGGTCGTGCATATGGCTGTATATGTATTAATTAGTCCTTGCAATCCGCAACTTGCTTATCAAGATCTAAGTTTCTTCACTGTTAGAGCGACCCAAAAAAACTCCGTGATTGTATGAGGGCTAACAATCATAGGAATCAATCACTGCAGAGTGGTTAGAAATCATGCTAAATATGGTTAAAATATATCTCAGCACGTATGTTTTTGGATATAAAGATCACTAGGAATCTCACTCAACCGTTTTGTCACGTCCAGTGCAATTTTTGCTTCTTCAAAATGAAATAAACTGTTCCATAGCTCAAATAACTTCAATAGGAACGGCTAGCAATTAAGATCGAAGGACGTGTATTAAGATCACAGAGAGAAAGTATTTCCTGATTGATATATTTTGGATCCTTAATGCTGTTGGATGGCCTTTAGTTGTGTGCGAATCTGTTGCGGCGTTTATAGCATGAGTATCGAATAAATATATTATAATCTTGCTAATTTACACACACTAATAATTCAGTCACTTGGGTTTTGGACCAGCAGAGTGTAGAAGCCGAATCGAAATAAGAGATACGAGAGAAGATTGACCAAAGACGTACTTGGTGGTGGTGTCGTGGTCGCACAAAACTCATAGTCCAAATGTTAGAACTCAACGGGATTCCAATCTGGGAACAATGAGGAAGAGAAGAAGATCGTCGCACAGTAGAGAGAGAAAAAATTGGATCAGCAGCAAAATCACTGGTTCACTCTCTGGAACCTTCTATTAGTTATGTAAGATCTATTTACAATGAATAAGTGGGAAAAGAGAAAAAATCATACAAGACCAACTAGAGCCCAATATAAATAACGAAGCCCAAATACAACCAAAGCCCAACTAAGCCCAACTAATATTCTAACACCCCCCCCCCTCTCAAGTTGGAGGGCGGTTGGCCACACCCAACTTGCTCAAGATGGATCGGTGAGCCACTCCAGGAAGAGCTTTAGTCAACATGTCCGCAAGCTGCAGTCTGCTAGGTACAAAAGATAAAGAGATGAGACCCTCATGAAGCTTTTCCCGTACAAAATGACAGTCAAGCTCAATATGCTTGGTGCGTTCGTGAAAAACAGGATTTCGAGCTATATAAATGGCAGATTGACTGTCACAGTGAAGGGGAACTGGAACAATTGAAGCAACGGACAGCTCACTGAGCAATCTGGTCAACCATGCCAACTCCGCAACGACCCTACGCATAGACCTGTATTCTGCTTCAGCAGAAGAGAGGGCAACAGTTTGTTGTTTCTTGGATTTCCAGTAAGAAGGGACCCCCCAAGTAGAACCAGATAACCACTAACAGATTTGCGAGAATGGGGACAAGTTGCCCAATCAGAATCGCAGTAAGCTTGAAGAGAAAAATCAGGATCATTAGACATAAGCAAACCTTGACCCAAAGTCCCTTTGACATATTTAAGCACATGAAAGGCAGCAGTGAGATGAGAAGAAGAAGGAGCATGCATAAATTGGCTTAAGAATTGCACGGAAAAAGCAAGGTCGGGCCTAGTATTAGTGAGAAAATTCAGTTTCCCAACCAACTTTTTGTAAAGTGTAGGATCATGCAAGAGTTCCTCAAAATGGGCTTTGAATTTCATAGTAACATCCATCGGACTAGCTACAGGAGTGCAATCCAAGTAGTTGAACTCAGTTAATAGATCAAGAGCAAACTTCCTTTGACAAACGATCACCCCTCCAGGTTCTGGTAACACTTCCAACCCAAGAAAATAGTGAAGAAGCCCCAAATCTTTTATTTTAAACTGATGGTCCAGAAGAAGTTTGAGGGAAGACATTTCTTTTTCATCATTCCCACTCACAAAATGTCATCGACATAAACAGCTACAATAGTAATAAGGTCATAACCAGACTTAATGAAAAGGGAGTAATCATTCTTAGAAACTGAATAACCCATGGAAATAAGAGATTCACTCAACTTGGAATACCATTGTCTAGAGGCTTGTTTTAAACCATATAAAGATTTTTTCAATTTGCACACCATATTGCTCACAGAAACCATCATACCTTGAGGAATTCTCATGTACACCTCTTCATCTAAATCCCTATGCAAAAAGGCATTGTTGACATCTAATTGAAACATATTCCAACCCTTCTTAACAGCTACAGCAATGATTGATCTGATTGTGGTCATTTTAACAACGGGAGAAAAAGTTTCTGTGTAGTCAATTCCTTCTTGTTGAGTGTTCCCTCTCACGACTAATCTTGCCTTAAATCTTTCTACACTCCCATCGGCCTTATGTTTAATTTTATATACCCATTTATTTCCAATTGGTTTCTTTCCCGGTGGAAGAGGTACAATATCCCAAGTCGCATTAGCTTCAAGGGCCTCAAATTCTTTCAACATAGCTTCCTGCCAGGCAGGATGTAGTGCTGCCTGCTGATAAGTTGTTGGCCCAAGAACAGTATCTAAAGCTTTTATTAAACCTTGATTAGTTGAACTTAAACTACTGAAGTAAACTGACTTGGGAGAAGTAGGAACAGAAGTTAAAGTGGGTGGAAAAGGAGAAGAAGCAGAAACACACACATAATCTTTCAGGTAAGAAGGCTGATGATGGTGCCGAGAAGGATATCTTGGAGGAACTTCAGACGCAGTAACTTGAGAAGGTGCAGTAACTTGAGAAGGTGCAGAAACGTCAGAGAGAGGAATTGAAACAGGTGGAGAAAGTGAGGTAACAGAAGAGGGAGAAGGTGTAGAAATATTTTGGGAAGGAGGAGAAGTTTGCTGATGAGAGGAATTAGTAGGACCAGGTATACAAGAGGTAGGATCATCAAAGTTTGAAGAACTAAAAACATCTGGAAACAATGTTGTAGGTGAAGTGGACTCAGAGTAACGAAAAATATTTTCATGAAAAACAACATCTCTAGAGATAAGGATTTTCCTGTCTGAAAGTTGCAGCAGCTTGTATGCTTTCTTACCGGGAGGGTAACCAAGGAAAATGCATGGAGTAGATCTTGGAGAAAACTTATCTCTTAAAGGCTTGGGGACCACCACATAACACAAGCAACCAAAACTCCTCAAGTGATTATAGGTAGGTTGGACTCCATACAGAATTTCAAATGGGGTTTTTCCAGATAAAATTGTACTAGGAAGTCTATTTATTAAGTAGGTAGCTGTGAGTATACAATCTCCCCAAAAATGAAGTCGAAGTTTGGATTGATATAGGAGAGCCCTTGCTGTTTCTAAGAGATGTTTGTGCTTTCTCTCAACTATATCATTTTGTTGAGGTGTATAAGGGCACGAAGTCTGATGTAAAACCCCTTTTGACTGAAAGAATTGAGTGGCGTCAAAACTCGTACCAAGTTCTAGGGCATTGTCTGTTCTAATAGTTTTAATTTTCAGGTTGAATTGATTCTCAACCATTGCAAAGAATAATTTTAGGACAGAAAGTGCATTCCCTTTGGGGCTTAGAAGATGAGTCCAAGTACCTCGACTACAATCATCTACCAGTGTTAAAAAATACTTGCAATTTCTGTGTGTTGCAGTGTGATATGGTCCCCATATATCCACATGGACAAGATCAAAAATATGTAAAGCATGCGACTGACTATTTTGGAAAGGAATTCATTGTTGTCTAGCAAGTGGGCACACATCGCAAATGAAAGGTTGTCTATCACAAGATGGAACATTGATACAAGTGATTTTCTGTAATTTGGAAAATGGAAGATGACCCAGCCTATTATGCCACAAGATGTGTGACTTATTCACATTGACATTATTTGCATGAACAGAAAGTGAAGAAGGAACCGTGGAACAATCAAATTGTGGTCCTGTGGAGCTGGAATTGAGGAGATAGAGCCCTTCAGCCATCTTACCAAGTACCAATGGCTTCTTCAGAGAAGGGCCCTGTAGAAAGCATGCAATTGAGGAGAAAGTTAGGAGTAATGAAGTGTCAAGAGTGAGCTTATAGACAGAAATAAGATTGTACTTAAATGTGGGTAGATAGAGTACTTTTGAAAGAGTAACTAATGAGTTAATATGTACAGTACCAGTAGAGGCCACTTTCACTTTATATCCATTAGGTAGGGTGACAAGGATGGGAATTGGTAAGTCAGTTATATTGGTAAGTAAATTTTTATCAGAGGTCATATGGTCAGTTGCTCCAGAGTCTATAATCCAAGAACCAGGATTTAAATGAGACTTTAAGCACGAACATGTTCCACAACTCATGTGACAGAAGCAAGCAAGAATACCTGCGAAATTTGCAGAAGCGGAGGGGTACTGATTCAGGCCTTCATCTGCAACTTGTACTTGTTGAAGGATGTTCATTAGCTGCTTGTATTGGTCTGCGGTTATGGTAGTGGATGGAGTGGGATTCTCAGAGAAATTGTCAACTTTGCTTTCAGGATTGGAATACACATTAGCAGCAACTCTCGCTCTCGCATTTCTATTGCCAAATTTGAAATTCTGTGGATAGCCATGAAGTTTATAACACTTTTCTATTAGATGCCCATTCTTTTTGCAATACCTACGAAATAGTTTCTGAGGATCTGAGATTCCTTTTCCATCAGAATTTCCCCTTTGATATTGATTCTGAGTAGGGAAATTATACTTCTGCGGTTGAGTATTGAAATTAGTGCTTGGATTGTTGAAGGAGTGTTTGGGTTTGGAGTTAGATCCAACAGAGAAGGAAGCCGAATCCGATTGAAACACGGGCAGATTTTGAAAGCCCCTCTATTTCTCATCTTGAATAACCAAAGAATACGCTTTGCTCACATCAGGAAGATGCTCCATCATTAAGATGTTTCCCCTAGCATTGTTGAAAATTTCATTGAGGCCCATTAAGAACTGCATTAGTTTCAAGTTTTGATCCCTCTTCATCATCTTATGTTTACCCCCACAAGTACACTCACAAATACAATAAGAATCTGTGTTTAAGGACTCCATCTCATCCCAAAGTCTTTTAACTTTGTTGAAATAACCACTCACGTCAGATGAACCTTGAGAAACTGAACTAAAATCCTTCTGAACTTCATACATTCGAGCACCGTTGGACTGTCCATACCGCTGGTTCAATTCATCCCAAAGTCCTTTGGCAGTTTTGGAATATATGACACTTTGAGAAATATCCGGGTCTAGAGAGTTGAGGATCCAACTAATAACCATATGATTACACTGTTCCCACTGATCAAAGAGTGGGGACTCAACAGGAGGTCGAACATAACTACCATTAATAAACCCTGTTTTCTTCTTCGCAGAAAGTGCGATAATGATTCCTCCCCCCCCCCCCTCCAGGCACCAAAGCATGTACCATCAAACTGTTTGGAAACTAACATAATACCGGGATTATCAGAGGGATGCAAATAGAAAGGATGTGATGGAGGGAAAACAGGTTTATCATCAAATTGGAGATTTAGGGACGGATTCTGGTTAGTTTGTTCCTCATGATCACTTGTATCACCCATTGCAAAGAAATGCTACACAATCAGAGAATTTGAAAAAAAAAAAAATCAATTCACTCAGAACACCTAAAAGCAACAGCAACTTCCAGTCACAATTCACCGTGAAACACCTCCACAGAACTCCCGAAAAAATCCTCAAATACCAAAACAATTGAACCGCCGATTCTCATATGAAGGAATTCGATCAATCTCTTAACGTGAACTGAAGGAGAACGTGAAATTGATAGCAAACGAAATTAGGGCAAAATCAGCAACGTAATTGAGAATTTTTTCGATCCAAAAGCAAGACAAAAAAAAATCAAGGAGAATTAACCAAGGAAATCAAAGACACGGTCGGGAACTAGGTGATTTCCATGGCTCTGATACCATGTTAGAACTCAACGGGATTCCAATCTGGGAACAATGAGGAAGAGAAGAAGATCGTCGCACAGTAGAGAGAGAAAAAATTGGATCAGCAGCAAAATCACCGGTTCACTCACCGGTTATGTAAGATCTATTTACAATAAATAAGTGGGAAAAGAGAAAAAATCATACAAGGCCAACTAGAGCCCAATATAAATAACGAAGCCCAAATACAACCAAAGCCCAACTAAGCCCAACTAATATTCTAACAAAAAAGCTAAGATGTCTGGCTTTGGTTTTCTCGTCTTTGTTTAATATTAAGTGCTATGCTTTGTGTTATATGTCTGCAGTCTGCGTAATTAGTACGTTTTCTCACTACATTGAAGCCTTTCTTGCACTTGTCAACCATGGGCTAAGATTTCCCTCGTTTTTGCGAAAATCTTATTCCTTGTGCAAAAATCACCGTACTGAACCTAATTATAAACGGTTTTAATATTTTTCATTTGTTTTAATTCTTATCAGAGTGTAGTCTCATTGAATAAAAGACTTATAATGATGTTATCAAAAGAATATGACCCATATTCATACGAATCTCTCTAGAATATTGTACATAAATAGAGTATAAGAACTCAAGCTGGTTCTTGGACGGTCAAATGGTTTTGTGGGTGTTTTACAAACTTATTGTTAGTTTTATGGTTCTATTTTTTCTCTTACACAAGAGATTTATTGTGTATACATAAGAGATTTATCTTTTATACATAAAAGATTTAAAAGAATATTTTTTTAGTTTCGACATTGTAAATGGAGACGAAGGCTTATTTCCTCATTTCCGGACATGTCAGTCAAGTGTTTAATGAAATTAAAAAACAAAAAGAACTAGAAAATAGAAAATGGACCGACAAAATAATCAAAAATATAATACAATTCCTATATTAGATTCAATCTAGTTTATCTAGTGTGTGCATGTGTATAAAATATAGTAACAAATTTGTCTAACCAATGATTATTTGTTTTTATATAAGAACTGACGTCAACCTACAACACAGTTACACACACTAGTATCCTACCTGTAACACTGAAAGGTCCTTTAATTGTGATATTAATTAATGTAAATTTCGTACTATTATCTCGGTATTAATTATTTCATATTATACTCTCTCCATCTCATATTATCTGTCATGATTCTCTTGTACACGTCCTTCAAGAAAAATTAATTAAGATGGGATTTTGACTACTTTATTCTTATTCATGTTTTAATATTTAATTGTTCTCCATCGATATTTGAATAAAGTTGTCCATAATTGAGGTGTTTGTAGTTTTCAAAGATAACTAGTTATACGATACGCGCGTTGCGCGTGTATCCCGTCTCAATAAGTATATATTTTTAAAATCACATAAATACTATGTTAACTAATTACGTTTGAGTTACAAAATAAGTTTAAGAAAAAAGTGTGAGTTACTGAAAATGATAATTATTGATTATATTTAGCAACTCAATAAATGAAGAAACGGTGATAATAGAAGTCCTCAATCATCTTAGTCAATATTTTTAACTTAAGGTTTATTTACTTTAATTTCACAAGTTGTCGTATTTCTTTTTATTTTCATCAAGAGCACATAAACTCTCGAAGATTTTGGAGTTTTTTTTTTTTTTGAAATCTTTAAAGAAATATATATTCTTAAGTCTATCTAGAAACATACAAAGGATCATCTAACTAACAAAAGATCTTTTTTTCTTTCTCGCAAGCAAAATGTGAATTATTCTATTTCCTTGATACATAAGAGTTATTCTAAAAATTATAAAACAACTAAACAAATTGAGATTTTGGCCAAACAAGCTCATGTTCATTCAAGGTTCACAATTAAGAATACCTAAATAAAAATGTACTTGTTGAATACGTGAATGCAAAATTTAATTATTAATATAAATATGTGAATGCAAAATTTAACTACTAATATAAACGCGTGAATGTAAAATTCAACTACTATAAAAATATTGCTCAAAGAAGAACCTGAAAGTTCTTAATTTATAGTTGTTGCTCGAACAAGGCAAAGTTTTCATGATGAAAACGTAGAATTGTAGCTCTTTTATAGAAATTTTGGTACATAATTTGAAACATGAAAGGATTTATACAAAATAAAATTATGGATAATTTAATGATTTATTAGAAAATAAAGACTCCTAAACCAAAAAGAAAATCAAATTGCACGTTTTTACCTAACATTTTTTGTAGAATTAATCTGTCAAAAAATTTATAACTAAAAGATTTCCTATGATATTTTCCTTTGAAAGTGAATAATATTTTCCTAAGTTACTAGAAAGACGAAACTTTTAGTTTAAGTTGAATAACAAAAACTTTTCAAGTTTTAGTTGAAAGTGTTTGAAATTTTAGATCTAAAAGAAACTGAAAAATAAAAGTTTTAAGTATTAGATTAATAATTAAATGATTGTTCCTAAATAGTAGGAAATTAATTAAATGACTATTCCTAAATATAGAAAAATAATCAAATGACTATTTTGTCCAATGTGAACTCTATTTTAAAGGGGTAAAAAAGGCGAACGATATTTCGCTAAAGGCCTTCGTGCTTTTAATATAGTATAGATAATTACTTTCTCTAGAAAATTAGGAATACCTATAGATTTTTGCTTTATTGGTAGAACACCTTATCTCTAGAGAATACTTCTTGAAAAGCTATTTTCTTTTATATTTAAAGAATTTATTGATTGCAGAATTTTATTCCTTATTAATGGGTACTTGTTTCGTTCATTTAATTTAGTTTTTATTATTAAAAGAAAAATTGCTTCCTTATTGAAAAGTCATTTTTCCTTTTTTTTATATGTTACACTGATAAAAAATTGCTCAAAGAAGAACCTGAAAGTTCTTAATTTATAGTTGGTGCTCGAACAAGGCAAAGTTTTCATGATGAAAACGTAGAATTGAGCTCTTTTATAGAAATTTTTGGTACATAATCTGAAACATGAAAGGATTTATACAAAATAAAATTATGGATAATTTAATGATTTATTAGAAAATAAAGACTCATAAATCAAAAAGAAAAATCAAATTGCACGCTTTTACCTAACGATTTTTGTAGAATTAATCTGTCAAAAAATTTATAACTAAAAGATTTTCTATGATATTTTCCTTTGAAAGTGAATAATATTTTCCTAAGTTAGTAGAAAGACGAAACTTTTAGTTTAAGTTGAATAACAAAAACTTTTAAAGTTTTAGTTGAAAGTGTTTGAAATTTTAGATCTAAAAGAAACTGAAAAATAAAAGTTTTAAGTATTAGATTAATAATTAAATGATTGTTCCTAAATAGTAGGAAATTAATTAAATGATTATTCCTAAATATAGAAAAATAATCAAATGACTATTTTGTCCAATGTGAACTCTATTTTAAAGGGGTAAAAAAGGTGAACGATATTTCGCTAAAGGCTTCGTGCTTTTAATATAGTATATAGATTATTACTCCCTCCGGTCCAAAATAAGTGATTTTTTGGCTTTTTTCTTGTGGTCCAAAATAAGTGATTTTTCCGGATTTCAAGAATGAATTAATTATTTTTTTCCTACATTGTCCTTGGAGTAAATTGTGTTGGAATATGTGTTAAGAGTGTTTATGTGAGATAGTAAAGGTTAATATGGTCAATTCCATTGCTAATTAATGCTAAAATGTGAATTTCTTAATTTGTGTGAAAACATCCAAAAAATCACTTATTTTGGACCGGAGGGAGGACTAAGGGTAAAAAGGAAAAAAAATAATTAATTTTGTCTTGAACTTCTAAAATGACAAATAATTTCAGACAACTATTTTTAGTAACCATAACTGTTAATACTAGACGGGGAGTAATTCGATTATAATTTTGTTCCAAACCAGACGACCCCTGAGTAGTGACTATTGATGAGTGCAAAGAGTAACTAGTGATGATCAAACAAAACTGGGTTTTGTTCTATTCCCCAAACAAAACTTTGGAGTGTGGACTTATATATAGAGAGGAACCAAAGGCGTAGCACGGTTTTCTTGGGTAATGGTTGGTAGTTCGGTCTTCGGAAGTTTGACTGAGACTGAACAGGAGTAAAGACGATACTACCGAAGTCCCCTTAGATTTTGCAACGGCCGTAACGCCCCACCCCTTCTCCCTTCTCTTTTACACAAATTTAGAGACCAATACGACAGACACGTCCTTGTTTTGAAAACTCATATAATTACTATTATTACTCCCTTTGTACTACGTAGGACTCCTTATCATTATTTTATACTATTTGAATTAAACTTACATACAGTAGATCACACAAAGAAATTTTACAATATTAGTATAATTTAGTGGGCGGTTGGACATAAGAATTGGAAAATTTCAACCAAAAAATAGTGATTTTTTTTTTCAAGTAAAAATGATATTTGAAAATTAGAATTGTGTTTGGACATAAATATAATTTTGGGTTGTGTTTTTGAAGTTTTATGAGTGATCTGAGTGAAAATTTTAAAAAACAGTTTTTTGAAGTTTTTCAAATTTTTGAAAAAAATCCAAAATTCATTATCAAGTGAAATTGAAAATTTTATGGCCAAATAGTGATTTCGAAAAAAAGTAGAAAATTTTTCGAAAAAAATCTTTTGTCCAAACCGGGTCTAGAGTTGGATTAGCTGATTGTAAATAGCTGATAAGCTTGAAGTACTGAAAAGTTTTTTTAAGTGTTGAAATTGATTTTGAAAATAAGCATTTACGTGTCTGGATAGAAGTGTTGAAACTGATAATAAGCAGTTGATGTGTTTGATTAAAAAGTGTTGATAAGCTATTTTGTTAAAATGACTAAAATATCCTAGAATTTTTTTCAAAAATTATAAATTATAAATTTCTTTGTAAAAAGAAGAATTAACAACGAATATGGAATGAAGAGAAAGTCAAGAAATTTATTTCGGGTCGAGTATTTTGTGAATTAGAAAATATTATTAAGGATAAACTAGTAATATTGTTGGTCAAACTAAAAGTGTTTATAGCTTATGACTTATGGCTGATTGTAGCTTATAAGCACTTTTAGTGTTTACCAAACGCGTAGATAAGCCAAAAAATGCTTATAAGCCAGTTTGACCAGCTTATAAGCTTAGCCAAGCACCCTCCTAATATGCTATAAACATATTATTTGTTTTATTTTGAGTTAAAGTTTTATACATCGATTATTTTTCAGATTATTATCTATAAATAAAAAACCTCTTCATTTATCATGAATAGTTATTTTTAATTATCTTTTACGTGATCTAAGAATGTAAAAACTTGTTACTCTATTAGTTCGTAGATGTTAAATTCTTGTAAGTTTGTAGTAGTTCTATTTAATTGTTTTAGAAAATGTAAAAAATGTTGGTGGGGGGAAAACGGTCCCATATAAGAAGCCAAATAGTCCTAGTAAGAAGAGAAGAACACAGTGCTTATATATCTTTGTCCCTGCCCATGTTTAACTTTAAAAGAAGCTTCCGTCGTTTACTCCCATAAACAAACCCACAAACTCCTTTTTCCATGAGTCAAAAAATATAAAGAAAGAAATTAATCTCCTAGTACTATTGCTCTAATTAACAATGGCGGATGATCAAGAAGGGTATAAGGAAGAGACACTAAACGGAGAGAACTATTCAGAATTACTATTTGGCGATGATGATAATACACTAGGAGGATGTTTTAACTTCACTTCATCTTCACCAAGAATGCTCTGTTTTGGTGATTACACCAAAACCTGTGCTGATAATCCTTTTGTTGAAAGTTGTTCTATTAATTCACCAGCAAAAATCCAGAAATCTGGAGTCACATGCAGTAGTACTGGAGATTCACCCTCAGCTTGTTCAAGTAGCAACAGCAAGAACAACAAATCCGATGTATGCAGAATTTTTTTTTATCTTTAACGAGATAATTTATAATCACACAAATGTTTAAGACTTGTTGCATCTGTTGGTGCCACATAAATTGGGAGAAGAGAGTAATTTTTTTCTTTCTTGCATTTTCTGTGTTGATTTGGTTTTTGGGTTTCTGGATTTTTTTGTCCTTTTTGCAGAAAAAGCGAAATGGAGCAGAGAAAGAGTCGGTTGAAAAAACAAAAACAGTTCCTGCTGGAAATCAGAGAAATTGCAAGAGGACAAAGGCAGAAAATTCAAATGTGACAGGCCATGCAAAGGTCAGAAAAAAATGAAAAACAAAACAAACAAATGATCATTTGCATGATAAGTGAAGAAGCATTCACTTCTTTCTATTTTTTTTTGGGGTAAACTTTTAAGGTTATGAACAATAATAATGCAGGTTAAGAAAGAGAAGCTTGGTGAGAGAATCACAGCTTTACAACAGCTTGTATCTCCCTTTGGCAAGGTTAAGTTTTTTCCTTCAGTCTTCCTATATTATAGTCGAGGGGCTCCTTGGCGTAACTGGTAGAGGAGGTCACGGGTGTTATATACGTGTATTGCTGTAAATAAATTAAATAATAATTTTTCTGAAAAACAGAAACAGAAAGTTAGTAGAAATTTAATTCCGAAAAACAGTAAATTTCTTCAAAATAAATTCTAAAAACGTTATAGGAACAAATCGAGCCCACTGAATACACAGTGTGTCCTTAAGGAAATTATTTCCCTCAAGTACCCGAGGTTCTGGAATATATCCTCCCAGATAGAACGATTTAACTCACCAGTGTATCGGTACCTAAAACTCTGGTGATCGGCAAACCACTCGATGGTCGTAAAACACACTGGAATATTTTGTGCAGAAGAAGAAGGAGATTCAGAAAATTCAATAAGTAAATATTCTGGGATTTGAAGGTATATTTATAACCAACTTGGTGCTGTTTCTGAAGAGGTTTGCAACCTTTCAGAACAGCCATAGTTGTTGGAACAGGTGTGATACTGTTTTAGAACAGCCATGGCTGTTCAAAATATTGCGGGAAATATAAAACGGATTTAAAATAATCCGGGAAAGAAAAACGGGCCGGGTCGGATCGGGTCACGGGTCATGGGTTATTTCGGATTGAATTTTCTTTAATTAATTTAATTAATTATTTGAAAAGAATTTTTTCCAAAAAGATTAATCAATCAATCTTTGACAAATCCGAAGCCGAGCCAGCGACAACGACGACGGCGCGAGGCTTGCCTTCTTCTTAGCTCTTTAAGAGCTAAAAGATGAGCTTCTCTTTATATACACAAAGATTTTCTTTCCTTCTACCAATGAGGGACAAAGTGCATAAGTGAAATGAACTCATTCAAAATTTCACTTTCCTCCATTTCTTTTCCCACCATTTTCCATTCACACCTCTTTTGTTATTATTTATTAATAACAAACCCAACAACGGGTTCAAGCCGTAGAAACAGCCTCGTGCAGAAATGCAGGGCAGGCTAAGACTGCGTACAGTAGACCCACCCTACCCCGCGTATAGCGGGAGCTTAGCGTGCACCGGTCCTATATTGTAGTCAATTCTTGCAATTTAAAATATACACTACGGAGATATTTAACATGTTGTACTAAGTAAATATTGCACTGTCAAATTATATATAGTAAGATAACCTGATCTTTATTAATGTGACATTAAAATGGATATTGATTAACTACAGACAGACACAGCATCAGTGCTACATGAAGCGATGGGATATATCAGGTTTTTGCACGATCAGGTTCAAGTCTTGTGTTCTCCTTATTTGCAGCGCCTGTCTCCTTCATTACGTGTAAGTACTTTTATTTTGACCAATTTTTTCTTCTAAAGTGTTTTCACTAAAAAGTGCTCTCTTTTACTCCTATTTAGTACGTACAACAACTTTGTCCCTATGTGGGCCTCCCCTGTCCTTACCTTAACACCTTGCTCCCAGTAAATATTGACAAAAAGGTAAAAGAATTACTAACAAGCTAGGTGTGTTTAGGTAAAATTTACTGCGGCTAAACTCTTAGAATACTCTTAATTTTAGGTTCTAACGGATGATTATTTATTTCTGAGAAATCTTTAATAACTAGTAAAAGTATATGACAATGAGGTCATTAATTAACTTCTTATAGATTTTAATTACTACTATTAAAATGAAGTGTTTGGCTAGTAATATGTAGATGGTTGATCATGATGCGTCTTAATATGCATTGGACTTAACTTATATATATGGAGTATATTTTAACCTTGTTATAACATATAACCTGTTTTACTTTTCAAAATATTAATCTCACTTTTGATAGACGGTTAATTACTTATGATTATTTTTTAGATAAACTGATCTGAAAAAACTCTTTTGCTGTAAAAGTTGGTGTTATAATCCCACTTTATTGTGGATATTACGTGTGCTAATCCCATATTTTCCGCTGCAGCTGGTTAAAAGTATAATAGTTTGTTTGGCCAAGTTTCTCCAAGCTGAAAAACACTTATTTTATAAGCTTGGCCAAACGATAATCACTTTTTAAAAGTATTTTTCAAATTAATTAGTCAAACACAAATTGTTTCTCACCAAAAGTATTTTTAAAAAAACACTTTTGAGAAAAATCACTTCTCTAATATTTCCAGGTTGGCCAAACTGGCTATAAGTGTAAGTTAAATCCTAATGAGTTAGTGGAAAAATGTGACAGGAGGGTGGAGAAAACGGAGAAATGGAAGGATCAAGAAAGGAAGCGATGCTAAGGAGCAAAGGACTATGTCTTGTCCCAATAGAGCTAACTCTACATGTAGCTGATACTACACTTAATGGTGCTGATTTTTGGTCACCTGCCGCCATGACCAACAATATCACTCGTCTCAATTCTAACCAATGAACAATCACATCCCTCTTTTTGCTCTCTCTCCTTTTCTTTGTTTTGGTGGCTTGATTTGACAGTACTATATATATATTTGCAGCTAGCTAAGGAAAACCCAATTTTAGATATAAAAAGGACATGATAACTACTAATGTAGTATAGTGAAAATGATAGTAGGAAGGGCAGCTAGCAGGTTTTTCAAACGGTGAAAGGAGTGTAAAAGTTTTGTTGGTTTGCAGAAAATTGAAAGTGTAAAAGGCAACAAAACTTGGTGGTTGGAAACACAGCTGGGTGTTGGAAATTGTAGACCTTTTAGGGAAATGGAAAAGTGTAGAAGTATTACTCTTATCAGATCGAACAAGGATTTTTTGGACTCCATTCCGCTTGTGTTTTCTTCATCTCTTTTTCCTTTTTAGTTGATAGCATTCGAACTTTAAATATTGCAACTTAAAAGCGATAACAGCTACTCCTTAAATGTAAGGGTAATTATAAATCATTGATATTGTAGTAGTTGCCCAGTTGTCGTTCGTCGAGTTAATATAAATCATAGCTACGATTTGATAAGATTGAAAATTTGAAGCTTTTTTTTTCCTCCAAAACAAAGACTCCATATTACTGCATCAAGGAACAACAAAGTTCAAATGTACTCTTTGGATCCTGAACAATCCAAATTGGCAAAAACTTCTCTTGCATCCTGGACAATCCAAATTGGGAAAAACTTCTCTTGCATCCTGGACAACCCAAATTGGGAAAAACTTCTCCCAGGAGATGTCCTTCAACAAAGAAATAAAAATTTTAGCTAAACTATGAGCTACTTTGTTTAACTTCCTTGAAATATAAAGAAACTCGACGTGATCAAACATGCTTGATAGCTTCCAAATGTCTTCACACAACACTTCTATCTCCCATGAAGTAGCCGTCTGTTTTTTGGATCATATCAACAACATTCTTAGCATCAGATAAATCTTTACACTTTTCCATCCAAGAGTAATAGCACATTCAGTGCCCTTCTTATGGCAAACGCTTCAGCAGTCATGGTTTTCCCAACATACTGAATTGGGGATCCATGGGCATGAAGCAGTTTTCCAAGGCTATTCAAAGCCGCGACACCAATACTCGCATGTCTATCAGCACACCGTAATCCTGCGTCCGTAAATAATAAAACATCATCTTGAAAATTTGTTAGTTTAGGCACAAACTCATTTCCAGTTGAATGCCGTGCAGCGAGGCAACTAGTTAATAGATCTTTATATTCTTCATACTCAAAAAGAGCTTTAGAAACAATATCAGTTGGCTCTAACATTTCCTGATTAAAGAACCAAGCATTCCTACCTTTCCAAATTTGCCACATGATATGAACACTCAAATATACTAATTCTGTAGATTCAGGAAAATGTTTAGCATTTAAGAACAAGTTGTACCACCACACAGAAAAGTCAGTTATGTTTTCAATATCAGGCCAATTAACAGGATACACAGAAAAGTCAGTTATGTTTTCAATATCAGGCCAATTAACAGGACTTTGTTTCCATACAAGCTGAGATCGGGGACATCTAAATAGCATATGTTCTATATCTTCACTTTCAAGACCACAAATCTTACACGTTTTATCCAGGTTCTATAATCTTTTAGCTAAGGTACAATTAACGGGCATAGATTTAATCACACACTTCCTTAGAAAATGTTTAAATTTATTTTTAATTTTTAAGTTCCACAAATAATCCCAGAAGCTTTTAGGAAAGAATGACAACTCTCATGGGCTTCCGAATTCCTATTAGTCTTACCCGCCAAACCCTTTGCTAAATAGTAACCTGGCTTAACTTCATAGTTTTTAGATTTTGAGTGATGCCACAGTAATCTATCATTAAGACCTATGATGGATATTGGAATAGACAAACTTGCATCTACATCTTCAGGTTCAAAAGTCGTACTTATTTTATGAAGTTTCCAGGTATGCGTATCTTCGTCAATTAAGTCGGCAACCTTAAGATCTAAATTATTTTGCATTTGAATACTTTTTGGAGTAAAATCATTATTTCTTGGAATCCAAGGATCAGTCCAAACATTCATATTTTCCCCATCAGAAATCCTCCACCTTAGTCCGGTAACTAATAGATCTCTTCCCCACAAAATACTTCTCCGGATCCATGATCCAGTAGATGATGTAGAAGCGTCAAGGAAAGTTGAGTGTGGAAATTTGCTTTTAAGTACTCTTGCTAACAACGAATAAGGTACGACAATATACGCCAAGCTTGTTTAGCTAACAAAGCCATATTGAAAGCCTTTAATCCCTAAATCCTAAGTCCTCTCTTGATTTAGAATCACATAATCTTTCCCGTTTCTCAAAATGCATTTTCCTTTTATCTTCGGTTTGTCCCCACCAAAAGATTAAAAAAAAAAGATGTAATCTCCTTGCACAGTCCATCAGGGAGTTGGAAGCAAGACAAGGCATAGGTAGGGATTGCTGCAAGTACAGATTTAAGCATTACCTCTTTCCCTGCTGTACTTAAAAACTTACCCTTCCATCCTTTTATTTTTGTCTTGACTCTATCCTTAATAAACTCTAACATCTTTTTCTTTGAGCGTCCCACGATAGTTGGTAATCCTAAATACATACCCATCTCACTTCTTTGTTGTTGTCCAAGTAAGGAAAATATCTCTACTTTCTCCTCCTCCGTTACATTTCTACTAAAACAAATAGCTGATTTATCTAAATTAACCACTTGCCCAGAACTTTGCTCATACTTTCTTAGAATCTCAGCTACATGGACTGCATTGTGAGCGTTAGCTGAACAGAATATAAAAGAGTCATCTGCGAAAAATAAGTGAGTTAGGCTCGGCCCATGTCTATTTAACTTTAGACCTTGAATTTCATTTTGAGTTTCAGAAATCTTCAACAAAGTAGAGAAACCTTCTGCCCATATTGAAAGGAGATAAGGTGATAGCGGATCTCCTTGTCGTATTCCTCTAGTCGGCCTAACTGATCCAACTACCTTCCCGTTTATATTAAAACTATAGGTAGGGGTAGAAATATATTGCATAATCCATTCTACAAATCTGGCATGAAAACCCATTTGCAAAAGCATTTTTTGGATATATATCCATTCAACTCTGTCATAAGCTTTTGACATATCAAATTTCATCGCCATAAATTTCTCTCTACCTCTGCGTTAATTTTTTAGAAGATGCATAAATGTATGTGCTAAGATAACATTATCGGTTATTTGTCTATGTCCAACAAAAGTTGCTTGAGTCGGAGATATAACCTTAGTTAAATGATTTTTCATTCTCGTAGCAAGAATTTTTGCAATAATTTTATAAAGGGTAAAACATAAACTTATGGGTCTAAATTGCGATACCAAAGTAGGCTTTTAACTTTAGGTACGAGAGTGATTAAAGTATGGTTCCACAAAGGAATTAGGTATCCTGTAGTGAAGAAACCATTAACAGCTTCATAAATCTCCTTTGATATAATATTCCAATATCTTTGAAAAAATAAAGGAGTCATTCCATCCACACCTAGCACTTTAAGAGGATGCATAGCGAACACCGCATTATTTACTTCCTCTTCACTAACATCTTTTATGAGTTCTCGATTTATAGAGTCACTAATCGTTACATTGACATGATTTAGAATACTTTCGAAATTTGTCGGGTTAGATGTAGAGAAGAGTGTATCATAATATGCCTCAACTTCTTGAACTATTTCAGTTTGATCACTCACCCACCTCCCTTCAGATGTTTGAAAACCCCTAATTATATTTCTTCTTCTTCTTTCTAAGGTTGCCATGTGAAAATAGGACGTATTTTTATCTCCATCCAGCAACCATAAGACTCTAGACTTTTGTTTCCAAAAAGTTTCTTCTTCTTTATAAGCTTGGCTTAATTCCCTTTTTAACAACCTAAGTTTATTCCAATCAAAATTATTAGCATCACTTCTAAGGTCTGTAATCTGTTTCTTAATACTAATAATTCTCTTCCTAGCATTACCATTTCCTCCCCTTACCCAAGCCACTAATGATCTACGACACTTCTTTATTTTAAAGTTAACTCGATATTGCTCGAACCCAATATAGTCATCGGACCAAGCTTCAGATACAATATTCTGAACCTCTTCACGATCAAACACCTTTTATCAAAGTAAAAACGTCTTTTCTTCTTAATTTGTTCAGCATGTGAAGACAAAATTAACAAGGAATGATCAGAATCCTTAGTATCAAGATGAGTTAAATTAGCCTCTTCAAACTTTACTTTCCAATTAGGGGAGACTAAGACCCTATCTAACCTTTCCAGAATAATACCCTCATTTTTCCGATAGCACCACCAGGTCCAAGGTTTTCCTTTGTAACCCAAGTCAATTGAACCTAAGTTCCAAATAAAATCCTTAAAGTATCTAAAGGTCCAATTATCTCTAGTTCTTCCTCCTTGTTTTTCTGAATCATCAAGAATATCATTAAAGTCACCAGCTAAGACCCAGAAGGTGTCCCAGTATGAAGATTTTTTAATTAATTCTTGCATTTGAGATCGACGATTAATTCTATCCGTACTTAGATACACAAAGATACACCAATATTTGCAATCAGATAAGCCATCATGTATCAAAGTTTCAACACAAAAAGAAGAAGTGTGATATTGACATACCTGGACGTTGTCATTCCAGAATAAGGCTAGTCCACCTGATAAACCCATTGCTTCAACAGTAATAGCATGTGCCATATCCAGTTATCTCTGAACTCTCTGCACTGTTCTATCTCTATTTTTTGTTTCACTTAAGAAAATCATATTTGGGGAGTGGAGACGCACTGTCTCCTTCAAAAGGGGAACTGTTAAGGACCTCCCCAGGCCTCTACAATTCCACACTAAAGCTTTCATTGCATGGAGGGAAGCCATTTAGGGCTGGCCTCCCGCTCCACCACTTGTTTTTATTTTTTAACTTCCGTTTCAGTATCAAAATTAGTTTGTTCTTTTCTTTTATCCCCCACAGTATGCATATTTTCCTCTATCACAGCAACCTCAATAAGATGATTTTCATTCAAACCTATCAAATTGTTTCCTTTAACATCATCAGAACAACCCTTAATATTAGCCTTTCGTTTTCATTGTTTTCTCTTTATGTCCCCTGTATTCTTATTAGTAATAGTACTAACAGTTAAAGAGTTTTGTTTTGAATTATCGAGTAGTTGAGAATTATTCACTATATGTAGTTGTAACTTAGGAGAGCTCAATAAAGGATCTGGACATACCTTGTCTATGTTATCTTGCAATTCCTTCATTTTTTAGTTGCCAGCATCCTGCATTTGTGAGGCAACTTGCAATAAGTTTTGTTGTAGCTCTATTATGTCATTCAACATATTTTCATCCACTGGCATCTGCTCCTGCACATCATTCTTCTCCAAGCCAATATTCAAACCTCGCATTGAGTTAGTTTTAATACCATCAGAAGTTCCAACCCCAGTGTTATTCCAAACCTCTGCACTCTCCTTCTCTCTAGATCCATAATTTGTTGCTTCCATGGGCTGCATTTGGTCTCCCTGAAGATCCTCTTTTCTTATGTCAGGCTGCATTTCAACCGAGGTAGTACCCTCTGCCAAATTTAGCAGACTTTTACTACTTCCTGCAACTCCTTTTCCCTCAACCAATTCAAAGTAATGATTTTTCACCCTAGTATGCCCATCATTATTAGTATTTACACCTTGACGGCACTGATTATCTGAAGCTAGTAAATGATTCTTCGCTCGTAACCATGTCCCAAACTGGTCACTTTTCAGATTTCTTGATCTTATATCCTTCTCTATTTGTACACAAGTTCTATCATTGTGTCCTAGCATACCGCAGTAGTAGCAAACATAAGGTAGATTTTCGTATCTTATTTCAACCCAGTTTGTTTCCAAGCCTAACTTGATCAATTTTCTCCTAGGTAGTGGCCTGTTAATATTCACCGTGACTTTAGTCCTCATATATCGCCTCTCTTTGCTTCCATTTTCAGGGATTACAATATCAACGGTACCTCCCAAAGCATGCCCTATTTTGCGCCCAACATCCTTTGACATCCAATGTAACAGGATATTCCAAACTTGAACCCACAGATTACAGATATTAAACACATGGAAAGCACTCTTCAAACCTGGTTCCAAAGGATGGACATTAAGAAGGTATTTGTCATACAACCATGGTGTAGCAAACCATACTTTATCCTTACTTTCCTTATCTTTAAAAATAAATTGAAAAAAGTTCCATCCGATTTCCTTTATCTGCAGTCCTACTGGGTGCCCCCAAACCAATGGCATGGTGTTTTGACTCCCTGAAAATTCACCTTTTATCATAAATCACCTTGCCAAAAAGACTTACCTCACAATCCTTCATACTTGACTGAATATCTGGATATTCAATTGCCACAGCATCCTTTTCTTCTTCAGTAAGAATAATATTATTTAAGCGTTCAGTAATTTCATCAGCCATCTTTCCAATTGAAGGATTATCCTATTGGAGTTGATTCAGCAGTATATTTAACCTCTATGCACCAAAATATAGAGTTCTTCTAGAAATCAAATTGATTTAGGGTTTAGTAGAAAATAGGGAATTTGCACAAATTGATGCCCGCAGAGGATGAAATCGGTAATTATTAGGTTTCCTATTGGCAAAGTTTTAGAAAGTGTGGTTTGAGAGGTGGAGATTAAGTGGTTAGCAACAAGGATTGAGACCTCACAAGGAGGAAATAGCTCTCATGGTAGAGAGAGAAAGCCCTCAGCCAAGACGAGGGAGAGACGCGACTTTTTTGTTAGAAAATTTGAAGCTCTCACTCTTGGCATATGGGCACAAAAAAAGTCAATTCAAAAATTCCTATCAAGATATATACCGATATGCTTTAAGAAATAGGTCCCTTTTGTCGCAACATGATCATTTGAGGTATTGATTTACAGGCAGAGGCAGAGCCAATTAAACAACAATTTCAAGTGTTAGTTCAAATTTAATATTTATTCATATTTAATAAATTTATTATTAATACATTACATGATTTGAACAAAATATATTGGATTCGCCCGAACCAGGAGTCGGGCTACTAGCTCTACCCCAGCTACAATCCATAAGACAACATTTGGAAACAAAATATTGGTCGAATTCTTTTTGTGAAATTTAAAATAAAATCTGAAATAAATATGATATTTATATTTTAAGTTATGTGAAGAAATTGAGTTAATGAATTATTTTTTTAAAAATCAAAAGAAAAATCATACGTGGACATTGAACATTAAACTATGCAAATGTGGCCGTAAAAAAGGCCTAGGAAGAAATGCATCATCCATCTTAAAATTGAGTAAATATTTGACTGCAAATGGTGTTCACCTCAAATCTTATCAATGTATCATAACTAGTAGTCGTACCTGCACGATACACGGTCAATATAAAAAAATATTAATTAACTTAATTTGTGATCAGGCTTGTTTGAACATATTAGATTGTATTACCTTAATAAATTTCATCTATCATCTTATTTATCAATAAGATATACCCAATAATAAAATCTCTAATTTTTGTATGCTACTTTCTTTTGTAATATAATAGAAGATACATATTTATTTATTTTATTCTATTATACTCAACAATATTTTCTGAATAAATAAACTTTTTATTTTTAAAAAGAAAAAAAATTTATCAAAAAATAAAGAAATTTTAATTATCAGTTTTTTATTTTTATAATTTTAGTTTTTTAGTTTTTTATTTTAAAATAATTTAAAAACTCCAACTTGAAACTACTTTCCAATTTGGATTGACAATTTTTTTATTTATTATATCGTTCCCTAAATATTACGTCAATGACTTTGAAGGGCCATTATTGAGTCAAGCAACCGAAACCGAGTAAAGAAGTCACATCTGAGCTAATTATAACTAACTAATCCGCTTATATTATACCAAGCAAGACCCTTTTGCAGTTTACTCGCTAGTGTCATCACTCACTGGAAGAGCCTTTCTATATAATGAAATTTTGAAACAAGTCTGTGAAAAGGCTGAGAAATAAAATACGAAGAGAGGAAGCTAGACCGAGTAGAGTAGTAGGCATACTTTCACCATAGTCTTGTCCACAAGCAAATCAATGTTCGGCAACGGAAAATCATCTTTGGGAACATGCTTTATTGAGATTTCAAAAATAGATGCATTCAGTTATCAAGGGGGATGTCTACTCTTTCGTTTACATACGCAAGCTCCCGGTTAGTCGCAATCAATGCATATTAAAGCACTTAGCGGCCAAGCATCAACAGAGTAGCCTGCGGATTGGTGCCCGGTGACACAGTGAAGGTTGAACCATCAACAACTCTGAGTGCCCAGTCTTAAGTTCCTATCAACCACTTTCCAAACAAGGCAGCCGCCATGGTAATGCGATATTGTGGTCACAACGACAGACCTATCCCATCAGAAAATCATTGGATAGATCAGTAAATGAAGGTCCAACATACCTGAAATATATAGGACCAAACTCTTGTTGGTACTTGAATTCCGAGACTTCTTTAACATTCTTCTTTCCTCTTCTTGCTTATCACCTTCTTTCCCTTTCCTTGCATCCTAATATAATAAAGATCAGGACGAGTTGCTCCGGGTCCAGGTGACAGGAATCCTCTGAGGTCAGCTGAACACAGAGGCGGACCCAGAATTCTTACATGATGGGGGCACATNAAGTCCTGCTGTTTAATATAAGGGTAGCTCGATGTACGAAGCATCCCGCATTTATGCAGGACTCGGGGAGGGCCGCACTCAGAGGCGGATCCAGAATTTTTACGCGACGGAGGCACATTATTCTGCTCAACCAGTGCCCCCTAAAGGCTATTAGTGTTCAGGGTGTCAACTGCTTTAAATTAACCATTTTTAAGGTATATATATATATATATATATATATACAGGATTTCATCCGAAGTTTACGGGGTCCTATGACCCCTCACCCATACACATGGGTCCGCCTCTGGCTGAACAGGCTGACAATCGACAGAAAATGCTGAGCAAAGCTGCTGGCCTGAAGAGTGAGGCTAATCCGTAACATCAATTGCAGAAGAATGAGGTTCGAGTTGATGAATAGGAGAATGCCGCAATACATCTACGCCAAGGATTTGTGCTTGTGGGCCGGGGTGAATATTGCAGACCAGCGAATCTGGTAGTCGACAATCGTTCGGACTTGGTAAAGGTTGTCGCAGCACATGTAGTAGGACAGAGGACTAAACGCGATGCCAGACCAATTTACAATGACTCTGTCGCTGACGTTCGTCAAGCAGGCCACGTGGATTGGCGAGGGTCTTCTTCGGCTAATGAGACCTCGATCCCGAAGCCTTCGAAGTATCTTTTTGATAGGTGCCTCTATTTGTATGGGGAATTTACTGCCGATAGATCTCGCCCAGTGTCTCCCTCCTTCCCCCGCCGCCTTTCGAAAAATATTTTATTTTATTATTTTATAGATATTTAAATTCAAAAATAATTATCAATAACTAATTATTAACTAAATAACTAATTATTAACTAAATAACTAATTATTAACTACTTATGCCATGTGGCTTTTTTCTAGGCTGCCACTTGGCTTAAGGAGAGGGCTTTTTTCTCTCATTTTAATAATATATAAATATAGATTAAAATAATTAAAAAATTCAACTTGAAACTACTTTCCAATTTGAATTAATAGTTTTTTTTTAATTTTTGTTTTTTATTATAAAATATTTAATTTATTATTTTATAGATATTTAAATTCAAAAACAATAACTGATAGGTTTTTCAGTATTTTATGTTTTGATGATCTAACAAACTTGTCATGAAGAATCAGATAGAGCACCTGGCGCATAGACATACATTTCATGTGAACTAATCGAAGCCTGAAAATCAGCAAAGGGAGGAACACAATAGGGACCTGATGATCTGGTCCTTTAGGGTTAAGCAAGTCAATGACTGTACGCAATCAAGATAAAGAGGAACACAACAGGGACCTGCTGTCTTAGGGTTCTCTGAAGAAAAGTACAAGTCAAGTACACAACTGGAATATGACAGAAGAAAGTGACCATCTGGCAACTGTTACAGAATAGGAACACAACTAGGATCCGGTTTGTTGGTGTGTCCTGACAGGAAGTACAAAGCCCACTATCCAGCTGGAACGCAATTGCCCAGAAGTGGCTGTGCAGATTGTACAACAGTCACTTCTGATTGGAAAGAAGTATACACCTTGAGTTGACATCACTATCCATTGTGCCATCTTTTGTGATAAAACAACCTGGTGCTAGACACACTATTCCTCGTGCATTCGGTGATATTCTCTCAAGCATAACAAAGTTCATCTAGCATTGAAGTCACTGGTGTGTCAAGAACAAGAAGACAACTCCACTAAGGATCAGTTTCTAACCGAGTCTTATGTACGTCCATAGTTGAGTTGTAATCTTGTTAATTGTTCTACATTGTAATTCCAAGTTTGCTTTCTTAGAAGCGTTGTCTTAGGAACAAACCAAATTCGTAAACTTTAGCGTTTATGTTGTGACTTGGAATAGTCATAAGTTAAATCCTCTGTAACTAGGAGAGTTATAGAGTGGCTTGTGGTGGTGCATCACAAGTTAGTTTGAAGTCTTTACAAAAGTGTGTTTGCAAAGTGGCTTGTAATAGGTAGATTACAAGTTAGTTGAGTTTAAAGCCTACAAGTGTAGGTCGTGGTTTTTTGATCCCTTGTGTGGGATTTTTTCACGTAGAAAATCTCTGGCCTTCTTTACATTCAGTCGTTACAGCGTTCTACGTATCAATATCATAGAGGACCAGGTACTCTATAGTTTGGTGGACTCATATAAGTCATCAATTGGTATCAGAGCAGGTATTTTCTATCAGGCTAACACCTAGGAAGGATCCTCAAATGGCTGCTCCACTAAACTTTGAAGAGGGACAGTCAACCTATAGACCTCCCAGATTCAATGGTCAATACTACGGTTGGTGGAAGACCAGGATGCATGATTTCAGTATGGCAGAAGATTCAGAGTTGTGGGACATTATATGTGATGGTCCACATGTTCCCATGAAGAAGATTGAAGAAACTGGGCAAATGGTGTTAAAAGGAAGAAGAGAGTACAACGACATTGACAGAAAAGCTGTAGAAAAGAACTACCGTGCCAAGAAAATCTTGATGTGTGGCATAGGACCTGATGAGTACAATAGAGTCTCAGCTTATGAAACTGCCAAAGAAATATGGGAGGCGTTGCAAACCGCTCATGAAGGAAGCACTCAGGTCAAACAATCCAAGATTGACATGCTCACCACAGAATATAAGCTCTTTAGGATGAAGGATGATGAATCTATACAAGATATGCACACTAGATTCACCTCCTCATAAATGAGCTTCATTCACTTGGAGATGTCATTCCCAGAAATAAGCTCGTAAGGAAAATCCTCAACGTCCTACCTGGGTCTTGGGAAAGTAAGGTAAATGCCATCATGGAAGCTAAAGATCTACA